TTGCCGACATTTCCCATTTGAATTGCCCCAACAATTCTCGATAATATTTAAATCGGGAGATCTAGCGGGACATAGTAAAATTTCTATTTTCCTTTCCTCAAAGTAGCGTTTAACTATACGGGTATTATGCGCTACTGCATTATTTTGTTGGAAAATCCATTTTAGTTTTACTATTTGATTGGTATACTGGTCATACCGTCAGCTAGTCGTCGATGATTTTCACATAACATGGCTATTCATTTTGCAGTTAATAAATTTGAATTCGCTCTTATCGTAATAGCCTACTGCCATAATTCATACCACATACCATAATTCCACCACCACCCATTTTCTTCCTTTGAAACATTGTTTCCTTTTTCCGTAAGTCGTGAAAATAGTAATGTAAAACATTGGACCCTTTCTTCCATTGTTTCCGCCAATGCGGAATGCACGATGCTGAGCGAACTCCAATCTTGACTGTTTATGCTGGCTGGTTATGAGCCGTTTCTTCATTAGTTTACACCGTTTAATATGTCCTGCATTTTATACGATTTTTTGAACATGGCAGATGTTGGGATTTATTTTGACTTCAGCTGCAATTTGACTTGCTGTAAAAGTAGGATTGGATGCGTGTCGTAAAACGGTATGCCTCTCCCGCGATGTTGTTGCTTTTGGACGATCCCCAGGGAGTTTTCTCGAATAATTTGTTTTGTTATTTAAATAGTTAGATAACGCACAACGACTTCTTCCAACTAGTTACGTTATTTTGTTTTTTAATAGCCGCTAGGTGGTCTTTATAAAGTTCCTTCTTCTAAATACAAGTGCGAAAACCAAATTGCTGGGTCACATCCAGTTTTCAGAAAACATGGGTTTTTGTGAAAACGATCGAACTTTTCAGGGAAACAAGTGTTACGTGAAAACTAAAAATGATAGGCAGTTAAAATTTGTCGTAAAAAATAGAGGAGAATTTCCTGAATATGTAGCTATACAAATTTTGAATATTGCGTGCCATTAAATGCTTGTAAATGATGATCAAAGTTTAAAAAATGGTAGATGCGAGTACTTTGTATGCACTTCTGTTACATTTCTACGAAAAGTGGGTTGACTAGCACGAATTTGCTATGCACCATTGGATTCTGCAGATACTTTTGAAGGCGGAATCCCCCTGCAAAAAGCGTGAGAACGGTTTTTCTTTCGGACAGGTTAAAAAAATCTCCGTGAAGAGCGCGTGCACAGAGCTTTGGCGCCACACAGCCATCGCTCGCCAGCCACGGCTATTCAGTAACACATAAGGTTTAATTGTTTTATAAATTTCCATTTTTCGAAAACTGGACGTAACCCAGCAGTTTGGTTTTCGGATTCGTATTTAGGGTAAGGAACTGTATAAGAATCAGCTAGTGATTATTACAAGACACAAAAAAGTTTAAATTTAATTTCGGCTTCAGTTAATTTTTTACCGCCTGGCATTTCGAAGAATATACACAATATTGCAGCATATATCAATTGTAATAACAAGCAAGAGAACTGACAAACAAATTTCGATAGAAGTTTACAGTTTCACTACTAAACAGCGACTATTTTATAGTTTTGTCGCGGGTCATTGGGGGTATTTTTATAATCGTACATGTATTCGGAATACCATAAGCCCAATACTTCGCAGAAGAACATCTAAGATAAATAATAACGATCCACTGGCAGGAGAAATGAGTTCCTTCGCACAGTACTGATACATATGATTTTTTAGGGTGTCTTACAGTTTTGTAACGGAGTATAGACACAATTGGATTATTAGTATTGAAATGGTGAAAGAAAGCGGTGCCATAGCCAATAAATCATTTCTTTGTGGTTCCGCGTAGGAGATAGTTCTAATAATCCACGGAATTCTAGCTGCTGTCCATTATAAAAAACAGCACGAGAAGTTCTTTTTCTGAAACCGAGGCAGTGTCGCATAACCAAATATGCCAGATAATTGGATTATACCGATAAAGTGACAAAAATGAAGAGAACAATTTAAAAGTGATCATGGATAGATAAAAAGAATGCAATTTATTAACAAAAATGCAGTATATTAATGTAGTATGTATGAAATACTATGAATCCATCATATGTTTATCCATTTTCTAAATATTATTGATGGTAACCGACGATGCTCTGGAACAAGAAGTAATCTGAGTACTATGCAATGATCTTTTAAATAGTACTTGTGTTTTACAACTTTTTACCTTTCGATAAAAAGTTCATGCCAAAGAATATGGAAAAATATATAGAAAAAGACATTTAGACTTTTCTAACGATCTTTCCCCTTAACTTTAGAATTATCCGGTCTGCTAATTTGTTCTTTTTCCAAATTGTTCGCAACCCACAATGGCAACCAGATATTTCACGAACCTGGATGTTGCCACTTTGTGTACTCCTAGTGGGCCTCACCTTCACTCCCAAAAAGGAAGGCTTTAGAGGTAAATAGTAGTGAGGATCGAGGGTCCAGTGTGACTTCCATATTTTTACGAGTCAGTCCGAAACAATACGCCGAAGAAAAACCACCTGGGTTGTTCACACCTCGAGCACATACAGTCCACCTATATTTTTATCTGGCTCAAGGAAGTCGCGCAATATTAATTTGGCGTGTGACGTCGCAAAGGCACCGAAGTAACAAACCCGAGGACCTTCGATAAAATGAATGCAAAAATATTTCTTCCATATTTTTTTAATGATATTAATAATTAGGTCGGTACACGCAATAAAATTATTTTTGACGGACAAAGAATATAAGCGGACTTAATGAGCTTTCGAAGACAGTTAGTAGAAGTAGTCGTAGTATAGATAATAAACAATATTTTTTCATATTTATACACGTTGAAGGTATGTTTCAAAAGTTGCAATACTACCAATTTTTTTCAATATGTAAATATGCTTATTCATTTTATCGATAATGAATAATACCTTTTTATATATAATTCGTTTTTTAATATTTACCATAATTTTGATTTTTTATCTAAATGCGTGTACACTGTGTTTGCAGTATATTTCGAAAGTTACAGCGTCCCTACGGTTTTAAACTATGAATCGCCACTGGAAAGTGGTATAACCATGTTGCGAGATCAGTTGTATGACAGGTTCGGTTAATGAGGGAATTTAGTGTAGTAATGACTTAACATACTATATGTGCTTACACTGCAAAAATGTAATATTTTTTTCTCTAAATATTTGTTCGAGAACTCGGCGTATCATAAACTAGAAATAAATTAGGAAACATTTTTCACGAGTTTGATGTTTGCACAAAGAAACTTATTAATGTTACAAAAACGAATTAATGTTTCATAAAAAAAATGTTTAAATATTGTTATAGGTATAAATTTTTCACTAATTCTTTTGACAACTAAGGTAAAAGAACTGGTTGACCAGTTAAGAAAAATGTTCTGCGTAAATAATAATAAACATATGCTCCGTTATTAAATAAAGAGATACTATACGTGAAAATGCTGTTTGAACTTCTTACATTACGTAACAAAGCAAATTTTTTTGAAATAGCTATATTATTCAAATTGAATAGATATTTTTAAAAATTCAATACTTGCGTCAGAAGTTCACCATCCTTTAAAACAAGAAAATTAGTAACTGACCAAATGTTAGTTAGCAGTTGACCACTTATAATAAGCCCAAAAACACTAAATTACTTTAATATCATTCATTTGCAACAACTGTGACAAATATAAATGAAAAAGAGTTAATTCCATGTTGGTAACTAGAGGCATACAACCAATGTCAATGAAATAAACTATTAGTTTCTACAATAAACAATTTAATTCAAGTAAAAGTGTTTCAGAGTTAAGGTGGTAGATGCTGCAGCACATCTATTGTACCTTTTATCGACAGATCATTACTTTTAAAACTCTTGTGTTTTTGCTTTTACCTTATATTTTACCAACAATTACTTAGGAAAATGAGTATGTTTATATTAACATTTATATTAATATATTATATTTTGTTTATAAAATCATATACATTTATAGTTTATTTATATCAACAAACAATTAAATATATTCAGTTAGAAATTTTGATTTGGTAGAAATAAAGATTTTGTATTTTTATATGAGTGCTCTGTATTACCCTACTATCTTTGTCAAGCAAAAATATATTTCAATACTTTTAGAAAATTATATTTTCCTTCATAGCTAAACAGTTTGGTGAAAAAAATCTTTTATTTTCTTATAGCCAAAGGCCTGCTTAAGACTTCCAAAACAGATTTCATGTGTTTATTGCTCCAGATATTTATTACTACGATTTACGAAAAGCGTTCCATTTTACCCGACTTTCCCATCTACTGAATAACTGTGGGATGAAATGAAAGGCATTATTCACCTTTTCTCTGGTTTATTATTGGTCTATTAGTAATTGTGTGACTGAGGATTCTTAGCAAGAGAGAAATCGTAGAAGGGTCAGTGTCTCTTTCACCACTGGATGCTTCAATTGGAAGTAAGAATGATTTTATCTCGTAATTCTTTAAAATTAATGAGGTATACTTCAAGCAGCAAAAGTGTACCACTGTGGGGATGTACTAATACTGAAATCTCAAAGGACGTGATCATTAAATAAAGTTGAACTCAGTAATAGAAGAAATCATTAAATATATTCCGAATAAAAGTTCTGTAGTACAATTGTTAATGTGTGTCGCGTTGTGGACTCTAAATCGTGTTCTCTTGATTTTAACGCACTGAGAAATGCAGAGGATGGTTTCAGCAGTAATTATACGTACTGTTAGATTATGTTTGTAAGGGACTTAGGAACCCGATCTCACTATGTATCTCTTGTCTTGCGATTTGAAATGAACCGCAATGATAAACAAGTCGGTGACCTGTATATACCAAAGGAAATAAATTAAAAATGGTGGTGGGAATACGTGTATGCGCGGATTAGATTTTCCCGTCGGTGGACTCCCGCGAGAGGGTTAGGATTTTGTATGTACGAACGAGCTCTCCTGAAGTAGCATACAGCTAAAAGTAACGTAGGAAAGCTTTGTACGTAACGATTATCACACGCGCGCACACACGCACGCACATATATTTAATTGATGTGAAATTAAAACATCTTTATATACAGAGTTTTCGCCATTCTTCATTTTACTACATGGTGAATCCCCCTTCTAACAACTTCACACTACACCACGACTACCAACTTATAAAAAAATAATTTCACACAACTAGGCTGAGAAATGCGGGTCTATATAATTGGTCAGTTGTCATCTTTTCTTATCTCGTTTTCGATATTAATTTGCTTTTCATTAATACGGTTACACGTAACCAATCAAAATTACAAACACATGTCCCGGTAGTAATCAAGGGGCCTAATAAGCAATATTATCCTCTTTGCTTGTGCATCGGTCTCCACAGGAGATGTATTACTGTGATATTATCGTTAACAACGCACTAAATTTATTGATTGCAAAAATTGATTTAAAAAGAGCGTGGGCTTTAAGTAAGTAAAAGTTTTTAAAGTCTAAACGTTATTATAATACATTTTGATTATTCATATCTTTAACGTAATGTTAAAATATTATAATGCATAATACGAAATAATTATATAGGTATATTGTTTCATTGTTCAAGTATTATAAAAATGGAACAACAGAGACGTTCTATTGCAGCTTTATCCAGTACTGGAAATATAGCTGAAAACTGGCTGCAGTGGAAAGAAAATTTTATCAATTATTTAAAAGTAAATAACTATGTTGCAAAGTCTGATGATTTAAAAATTTATCTGTTAAAAAAGAACATAGGAAAAATTGGTCAAGAAGCCATAGAAATCTTATGTAAAGACAGCAAAAAGTCCATAAATAATATGAATACATTATTAGAAGAACTTGATACTTACTTCCAAATTTCAAAAAATGAAATTATAGAACGATATAACTTTTTTACTACATCCCAACGTGAAGATCAATCAATTGACGCTTATATCCTTGTTTTAAAAGTGAGTTATACTCACAAATTTATATATATTTCTTTTAACTTGTTGACTATGTACATTTATTTCATTTTTTCACATTTTAGGAAAAAGCAGAAACTTGTAATTTTGGAACTTTGACAGATAGCCTCATTAGAGATAAAGTAGTCGCATCGATTAAAGACAAAAATTTAGAGACAAAACTGTTGAACACAGATAAACTTGATTTGCTCAAATTAATGATCATTTGTCATAAACATAATAATGATGTGCAAACAAAAATAACAGCTCCTAAAAATTTGAATAATGAAATAGTTACTAAACAAAAACAACAAACAAAAAAATATCCTGAAACAAAGAATACTAACATTATTGATAAATTAATAACAGATAAAAATTGTCAAATAACAACAGTATTTAGAAAGCAATGTTGGAAGTGTAGGACATATCATCCTATGCATTTTTGTCCTGCTTGGTGAGATAAATGTATGGAATGTGGTCAAAATCATTACACTCGCTGTTGCCAATTTAACAAAAATAAAGAGGTAAACATATGTATTGTTTCCTTATATGTATTTACAATAAAATTTGGAGTTTTCCAAGTTTATTATTTTTTAAATTTAATCCATTTTAGGTAAATATCAGATCAGCCAATAACAACAGCGGTGAAAACTGAAACATCAACGTTCCTTCCGAACGGCCGCGTGTTGAACGTAGATACCTGAAGTTTTTTAAGATAAATATAAATTACATTCGCCTTTAAATCATATATTAAAAAACCTGTAAGTCTTTACAGGTATATTTCGGAACTGCTTACTAATTGTATCCCCAAAAGGAATAAAAAAAATTTGAATGTGCACTTTGCCTGGTTTTATTGTACAGCTTAAGAAAGGTTTCTATAGTTATGCTCAGTATACTGCTACTTTGTAACTATTTTTACGTGGTGACTGCTCGGAAGGGGATTATATACTGCTTTTCGGAGATGGAGAGGTTCGTCGCGAATGTAAGCGTCCGGGTGTTGCCGGTGACAATCGGTATCGAAATGGGATAGGGATATCGCGCAGTAATCTATACTTATGGTCTACAGATGGCGTTTATTCCGACGTCTTGTGAATTGAAGCAGCATTGCGGCAAGGAATAGACTAGACGTCTACTCGCGATGAACGTCGACGCCTTGGTTTTGACCAGTGTGGCCAGATCGAGGAAATTGAGGAGAACGCAGTTTATCCTCTTAGTGGCGTTACTGTAGGGTTCTGCGATGATTGCAGAGGTTGTTGGAGGATGCCCGCTGATGAATGGGGCAATAGAAGAGGTAAGGCGGCGTGGGAAAAACGCAATCGTTTTGTTGTTTTCTGGCTTCACTGAGTTTTGACTCAGTGTCATTGCTTTTGTTATTGGCTGATTCGCGTAAACGGAGATCGTAAATGAAACAAAAAACAACAGAGTGAGATATAACGGTAGAGAATGAATATAGGCATCAACTTCTTATTTGTATCTCACTTTGTCATATTCTGCTTCATTTGCGATCTTTGTTTACGCGAATCAGCCAATAACAAAAGTGGCCGAAACCGAGGCGTAAACGTTCATCGCAAGTGGACGTGTCCCCTTCCCGCGCTTGCTCCTTCCGTTCGAGGGGCAAGCTACCAAATGTCGTTGGAGGACAAAACATTTTTCGAGAAAGTTAAATCATTTTCGTTATAATCAGTGTAACTGCGAAATGTGCACAACATATACCCGGGTAACCATTTCCATTCTAACATACAAATTTATTATGTTCTGGTTGGAATATTTAAAAATCCTTCTAGATACTCTTTTTTTGGACATTTAATTGATTTCAAGAATTACATGATAAAATACACTGTGGGATGGGCGGTGTTTTGGCGAGGACATGCACAGGTGTATTTGTATTTTGATTAAAATGGACTATAAGTGACTAGAATTAAGCTAAACTATGTACCTTAATCTATTCTACGCAATACTACACTGTTTCACGCTGGTCTACTCTGATCTACTACTCTAGATTCTCAAACTGCACTGTTCCACGCTAGTCTACTCTATCCTGCTCCTGTCAACTACGAAACTACACTCTCTACGCTAGTCCACTCTGACCTGCTCCTTTCAACTCGCAAAACTACACTGTACTATTCTAAAAAAGGCCTTACAATCATCTTAAATACTAATCCCGTCAACACGGGCCATGATTCTGCAGGCCATCATCGGCCGCCTGCGAACCATCCGAGTCCAAGTGACCTGATCGTAACGGTCCGAGTATACCTGCGGTATCCGGTCTTACGCATCGCACCCCACAATACCATTTTCGAACACGTTCTTTCTTACGTTTCAGTGTACTAAAAATGTATTATATTATTAAACTTTTTTACAACAAGTCCATTCACAAATAAATGTTCCTGATAACAATTGATCTCAAAGAGTTTCTCCGCAATTTGTACCATACGTAATGCGAACTTAGAAAATCTCGATATTGAGTGTGTGACTGACAGATTGAGAGTGTCAAAGCAGTCATTGGCTATCGAAAGGTAGACAAAAACAGAATAATGTGAATATATCTTTCCTCCATACGTCCATTCTTATAACGAAAATAATGTATGAATATGCAATAAATTTCAACTACAGACTTTAACATTAGATCATTTTCTAGGCATACATCACTTTTTTTTATTTAAATTGATAAAGTATTATTTTGTTCATGATATTAATAAAATCTAATATACTTTTTAAAAGTTTGATCATAAAAGCATCATTTTATATCAAATCTGCTTGACTCAAGCGTTTGTGGTACCCGGTTGTGGAACAACATAGTTATTGTGGTTGTGCACATGAAGATCGTAATGGAAGCGAAAATATTACAGCCCAAAGCAGAGCACTAAATTTCCTACAAGGCACTGAATTCTCTTAGAATGCATTAAAATATGTCAATATAGTTTCTGTAGAACGGCGCAAAAGCCTATTCAGAAAGTAAAAATAAGAAAAAGCGTCCAGTGTAAGTACTCGTATAATAATGATGGACACCCGTGAGGCCAATGAGAATCGCATGCCGGTTTTTCATATACTCTAAAAAGCCACGCTATATTATTTAAGTATACAAAAATGAGTACATATAGTCAAATTTTATTTAATTGAATTAATATGATAGCATATTCTACACAAGTTTTAACACTAACCATACCGGTACTTTGTATATGTTTATTCCGTAACCAGTTAAATGGCTGACTGTAAAAGGTAAACAAGTTAGATAATGATTTTTTCTTACTGGAAGCAGAAACAAAGGGGAAGACAAAAATGAAACACTGATTAAGACAATACAGGAATTGACATAAAGTTAAATGAACGAAAGGATACGTAGAATTTTTAATGAAATTTTAAAACCGGTTCGTGATAGGGTTGGCGTTAAGTGCTGTATAAAAATCGGATTTCAATGGGAGTCGCGCTTAACTCGTCTAAGAGCCGCATTTGCCCACCTAATCACAGTTAGTATTATATTATATATAGGACCACAAATGTTTTATTAAAAAGTTGTAGATATAAGAAAGTACGAAGTAACAAGGGACTTGTATGTTTTTATATACTCTAGTATGTCAGTTTCATTTAAAAATGTTATATAAGATTTCTTTTTTGATAATTACATTTAATGCGTATAGATGGTGAAAATACGTATCAGAGAAATTGGTTGCTAGCAAGTATGAGATAAACGAAAAGCGGGAAGATTGGGCGTCGAAAAGTAATGTGTGTTCCGCGAGAGCATATATTTTTATATTCCTTTGTGATTGTATTTATTATTTAAAATAGATATATTAACACATTGAGCGCCGGCGACCTAAGAGACATTTAAAGCCCAAACGCCGGCCTCATTCGCTTGTATCTGATCAATGAGTAGCCAAAAAAAAATATTCAAAACATTATACATTTTCGTAAAGTAGTACATTTTAATTGCATATTCGTCATATACAATTTAACGGAAATGAAAAATAGAAACAAAATCGAAATTTTTTATTTATAATTATAAAAAAAATAC